TATATATATATATATATATATATATATATATATACATACATATATATATATATATATATCTATGATCCCGTCAATGGCATTTTCGGCAAAATTTTAAAAATAGAATTATGTACAAAGTGTGTATTTAAAATAGATTAGTTTTAAAATTAAGATGTAGAGGAGATAAAATCTCGCAACTCTAGTGGCGATTTTTCGGAAAAAAATTGCGTACATAAGACGTACGCAGAGCTGCATACGTCTGTAACCTGCAAACAGGTTACAGGGATGATTTTAGGAGGTTATAACAGCGTTATTCCCCCTGTAACCTCCCTGTAACCTACCTGTACCTTCGAGTCAGTTTCGCGCTTCTGTTTTCATATATAGGATTTTAATAAGGTTTAAAATAAAGATGAATATATTTAGAAAAGATGAAAATAGTATTTTGAAATTTATGAAATGAAATTTGTAAGGAAAATCTGCTCAAAAAAATTAAAGTTAATAGAAGCATTAAATAGGTTATAGATTTATCTAAAAAAGCAAAGTTGAACATGTTTTGAAAAAAATGCATATGACTAAATAGTTATATGAAAAATATATTGAGATTTTGAATGTTATTAGAAGTATTGAAATACTTTTATTACCAAAACTTTTATAGAAAAGTCAAAGTAGAAATAAAAAAAATTATTGAAAATGGAAATTTTGGTATTGCTCTTTGGAATGAAAGAAGATTTGCTTAACTTCTTTTTTAAAGCAACTAAACTTGTAACATATCAATAAACTTCATAGGTTTAGCTCAAGACTAATTGGCCCCTCTTCAAGCTTGTAATCTTTAATTGGCACTTGGCCCTATGATCTATTCACTAAACATGTCCCTAAAGTGCTTTGTGTAATGTTGTTGAGGCTAAGTTAGGTGATGAAAAGCTATTAGATTCTACAAAAGTTGATATCATAAGTATTTGGTTTATAATAAATTTATAATCTATTATAGTAAATTCTTTTATTTGCCTTATTTCTATTAATAGGAGATAACACTGAAAGAATTGGTTACTCATTTTTTATATTTGGTTTCACTTGGGTCAATCAGAATTAGTTAATTCTGCAAGCCCCATTTTAAAGATTTTAAATTCGAGACTTTTTCTAAAAAAAAAGTTGAATGGTTGTCTTAAGTTACAACTCTCATATTTGAATTAGATATATGTTTAATTAGATTTTGCTTTATGCTATTTGGGATATATCACATCAATATATTACTATCTAACTTTAACAAAAATACATTCAAACTGAGTGAAGTATTTGTCTAATTGATCCTACGGTTTGATGATAAATTAACTGTCTTTGAGGAGTTTGTGCCCAAGTATGAAGGAGGTCGACGTAAGCCTATTTATGTCCCATTACATTCAAAATTTATGGAATTTAAAGAATTAATAATGCAAAGCTTGGAACATAACTCATGTGCATTGAATTTGATATGTCTTCGCTCAATGAATGATGGATTTTCTGCAACTCCTATCAATGATGATGAGGTAACTACACTTATTTTAGTGGAGGCTTTACCTAAAGTTCTAATAATCTATGTTCTGATTGTTCCAATACAAAATGAAAATCTTATCGCTGATCATATATTAACGGAGCTGTAACAGAAAATCATCACGAAATATGTTGTTCTGGATTGGTAAGCGGTATCATATATGGCATTTCAAAAATAGTGTCATATATATATATATATAT